TAATGCCACAATATGTGCATGAAAAATATTGGATTTCAGATCAAATTATGATACTATCCATAAAAAGCAAACTATCATTAAAAAAAACTAGAACTAAGGAGAACTTTCCTAACAGTAAGAACAATTAACCAATGAAAGAACTTGCCCTCAGAAGTTGGGGTGCCCCATCATTGGAGGCTTTTAAGAAGAGACTGGACAGCCACTTGTCCAGAATGGCATAGGGCGGGTGTCGGCAACCTGGAGCTCCAGAGCCACATGCAGCTCTTTGGGCCCTCTGCTGCAGCTCTCTGTGCCATCACTGGCTGGCCCCATCCCTCGCCCTCCACTCCACTCCTTGCCTGGCCTGAGAAGGTAAGGGTGATGGTGGTGAATGGAGACTCACTCTATATTCCAGAGCGGGAGCAAAGCGCCCTTCTATTTGCCTCTTCTACCAGCCCTTGTTGGTACTGCACACACTTCGGCTGTTGGGGAAGACGCACAAATCGTCCTCTGCCCCAAAATACTGGCTGGCCTGGCTGCAGCTGACACCACTACTCTCCGCACCTCCATGGTCTGCTCACTGCTCTTGCAATGTCTTGCGCAGCAGAGTTAAATTTAGTGCACATTGGGGGAGACGGCATCCCCTCCTCCTTCTGGAGCCCATTATGACACAGAGCATCAGCTGCAGCCAGGCCCGGCCAATGTCTCGGGGTGAAGAGCAAGTTGCATGTCTCCCTGAGAGGCTGAGATATGCACAGCAATAAGAAGGGCTGGAAGAAGAGTCAAGTAGAGGGGCACTTCACTCCTGCTCTGGAATATGGGGCGAGACTCCATCTGCCACTGTTGCCCTTCTCTTTTCAGGGCAGGGGAGGAGTGAGTGGGAGGGGAGGGCAAGGGGCTGGGCCAGGCAGTGGTGGGTTCAGCCATCAAGGAGCCACAGCAGAGGGATGAAAGAGCTTCAATTATCTGGGAACCTGAAATGACTCTTGATTTAAATCATATGGTAAAAAGCACCCAAAGAAGAAGAAAAAAACATCAGCAAAAAAACCACAACCCAGCCTGTTTTTGGAAATGGTTCAAGAGGGAACACACACACACACACACACGAGAGAGAGGGAGGGAAGGATGAAGGGAGAAAGAGATGAGAGAGAAAGAGATGAGAGGGAGGGAGAGGGAAAAAAGAGAGAGAAGGGATGAGAGAGGTAGAGGGAGAGAGACATGAGAGAGAGAGAAAGAAATGAGAGAGATGAGAGAAAGATGAGAGAGTTAAGAGAGAAAGAGATGAGAGAAAGGGAGATGGGGAGAAAGAGAGAGATGAAAGAGAGATGAGAGAGAAAGAGACAGAAAGAGACAGAGAAGGAGATAGAGAGAGAAAGAGACAGAAAGACAAGAGAGAGAGATGAGAGACAGAGAGAGAGAGAGAGAGAGAGAGAGAGAGAGAGACAGTGGGAGAAAGAGAGATGAGGGAGAGAGATGAGAGGGAGAGAGAGGGAGAGAGACATATACATATACATACATATATATCTGTTTTCCAGAGGAAAAAAAACCCAGGAGCCACAAAACCTGGGTAGGTATGGCTGGGGAGGGGGGGGGGGGCGTGTCATGTGACTGCATGGGAGTAAGTGACATCGAGTTGGCCATGCCCACTCATGTTTTGTGGCTCCTGGTGGGTTTTTTTTCTGTGGGAAATGGCTCTAAATGGTTCTTTGAGTGTTTAAGGTTGCAGACCCCTGGCATAGTGTCTCCTACATAAGCAGGGAGCTGAACTAGAAGACCTCCAAGGTTCCTTCCAATTCCATTATCCTATTATTAGTGAGTAAGGATGTATGTAAATAGAACCTTCATTACTATTGTGAATCAACTCAGTTCAGCTGCTTTTAAAATTATTGGTTTAAAAAACAAATTTATGTTACTTGGCAGATTAGCCAACTCAAGGACTTGGTATTTTGGACTATCTAATCCAGGTGATATTGTAGTTTTTAAAGAGTTATTGTGGTGGGAGGTTTTGTAGACCTCCAGTAGCTTATTTTGTACAAGTTGAAAGAAATTGATGACATTGACTCGACTTTGAAATCTAAATGTTTCGGAGCTCAACTGAATGGAGTTTCCATACATTAGGCAAAATTCTATAATAACTTATGTTATACAAATGACATCACTGGCCTTAATATTTATCACCTGAAATACAAATTCCTCACACTTTCAAGAATAACAGGAACCAGTTCCTCACAAATGTCTTTTAGAGCAAGTTTTCACTGTAAATATTGATGTGATCTCTGGAAGTATGAACATCCTATTTTGATAAACCAATGGAAACTTGTCATAATACTTGGGTGGCAAATTTATAGTCAACCCACTGAAGTTTCTTCATACCACAAAATATCTTGCTGCTATTATTGAAAAATTGTGATAATATTTTTCACCATTTTAAGATAGAAAACAAATTAGAATTACAGCATGGCTTAACAAAGTTTCATCCTGTTTGAAATTAGAGAAAAAGAGGATAAACAATTTTACAAAATTTGGGACCTTTTCTATCAATGGTTAGACAATAAAATATAATATTAAAATATGTAGAATTTTAGAAAACAATGAATATATAAAGATGTATTTCTTTTTTATTATTATTATATCTATAAAATGTTTCTAGATAGATTTGGGAGGATTATATGAATTGTTATAAAATAAGCTAAGTAAATTATAGTTATCTTGCAAAGTATGAATGAACAAAATTATAGTCAAATGATTAATAATGATACTAGGGTATTCAATTTCTGATTGATAATATGAGTTATTATGCAATGTAACTGTAATTGAGACTATGAAATGGATGTACAAAAAATTTGTAAACCAATCGACACACTGCTTGTACACTTATGGAAGAAAGTTGGGTGTTTTTATGTTTGGTTTGTTTTTGTTTGTCTTTAAAAACCAATAAAATCTACCAAAAAACAACAACAAAGTTTCATCCTGAAAACCTTGAAATATGTCTTCTCTCCAGCATAATTTAGGAACTCAGTGGATAACTGAATTTGGCTTATTATCATGTACAACTCAACTCTTTGTTCATCGCCTCAACATAGAATAGTTTCCACCTCTACCTCTGTTGTTTTGATCATTTAGATCTTTCATATGGTGAAGGGACAATTTAGGACAGGTAAAAAAAATTAACTTTCAATATCCAAACATTAGGGGTGCTCAAAAGTTGTGACATGCCTTGTGGATTATAAAGATATTTTGGTTACTTTAATATAATTTAGATGTGCTTGGTAAGTAACTACATAAATATCGTAACTTTTTAACTTTTTGTTTGTTTCATTTGAAAGGTTCAATTTCATAGATCCAAACGTTATAGTTACTCAAGAATCAGCCCTATTCAGTCAGAGCAGCTTTCTCCCAAGACCATAAATAGAGGATTACAGCCCACATTCCCAACTACCACCTGCTGCTGCTTTATTTTCAGAGTACTTTATGAAAAGAGACCCATGAGTATGCTTTAGACAGTGTTCTCAAATGCAAAAACCAAGTTTTGATCCACAGTGGGAATTTTTCTCAGCCACTGTATTACTTCCCATGGGGAAAGATATGGACTTGTAGTCACAAAAAGAAATATAGTGTGTGGGGGGAAACTAGAAGAAGTTGGAACAGGAGGAGGAAAATAAATTATAGATTTACATCTCAGAAATGAAAAAGAAAGGATGAAGTATCAGTAAATGTCTCATTATTTTATTTCCTCCAAAACTTTAGGGACCTTTGGCTTATTGGCGATATTTTGAAAACGGGAGAGAAATAGAAAGGAAACAAATAAAAAGTACAGCAAACAGACCTCTAGATCAAGGAAGAAATTACTGAAGTGTACATGGGAAGAAACCCAATTTCTTCCCCACATTGAAATTCCAGTTATTTCTTCTTCTTTGAATTGCTCATGTTCAACAGGTGAAGAAAATGGCAACCTTGCAATAAAAAAAATTGTTGATGGCTGGGAAAAGAAATCTCAGAAATATGTGAATTCTGAAATTAAAGTACATTAAGAAGATTATTGTTTCCACCAGTGGCAAGTTGTCAGAGACTGGATATCAACAAATTCTCATCAATGGTTATGGTTGTGGAATTCTGGGAGCTGAAGACTGTTCACCTGGAACTCATCATGGTCAGCAAACACTTTCAAAACATATTAAATCATGGACTTTCCCCATTGTTGAGTTGAAGGGCTGCCTTTGAGTCAGCAGGAAACCAATCTAGACTAATATTTGCTATCAACATAATATTTGATATGCCTTTGGTTGATCCTTTAATTCAACCATCATTGCCTCTGTTTCAGCCACCAAGTAACTTCATTTTTCCTTGAGTTGCCCTTGGATGATGCTTGAAAAAGGGTGTGGCGATTAAAAACTACTATAGCTAAGAATAGTCTAAACTTACTTGCTCATGTTGGGCTGGACAGATGGATTTTCAGGGAGTATGATAAAAAAAAGTGAGGATGGTGGCCATATTGTATTGTACATAAAAAGCAAATGGAGCTTCAATCATCTCGACTTGTTTGACCACATCCTGCAGACACTCCTGGAGGTGAAGCAATCTCATGGGGACATGGCAGAAAAACATTGCTAAGATTTTTTTGTGCCGTGGCTAGGTGCAAGTGAGGAAAAGCCCCATGATTGAATTTAGAAATATGCTCACCCTGAATATACCAACTACCTTATGGTTGCAAGAATGAAGTTTATAATTTAATAATATATATTTAAACAATCAGTAATGGTGAAAGCACTAGGTTAGAGACCAGGGGTTCTAATATATATAAGCTGCTGCAAATTATTTCACAAATGCAAGGAACTAGTCCATGAAGCTGACAGGACTCAAAATTGAGTGGAAGGCAAGTTAGAAAGGCAGAAAAACAGCAAACAACAGTTTAGTATGACATCAGCCCAAACCTTTAATATCTAAGTCATGAATTTAGTAGTTGTTCCCTGCCCATCTTCCCCTTAAGCATAATTCATGCTGTCTTTTTTGGTTGCTCTCACCTGCCTGACGAAGCTGTTTGACGTTGTGTCAGAAGAGGTGCTGCCATCGGAGCGCTTGAAGCGGTTCTTCCTTTTGCTATACTTTCCCTAGTGGGAAAACATATACAGGTCAAGAGTAGCACAAATTCAGAAAAACATACACAAGCAGGCAAGTAGGTGACAAAAAGAATAGATACACACAATGCTGGAGTAGAGCTATGCTCTAATTCAGCAGAGGGATGATTTAAATCCCATCTTCAGACAGTTGAAGAATATGTTCCATGGTCTTTAACTCAATGTTTCTCAACCGTGAGAACAAGTTGTGTGGATTTCAGCTCCCAGAATTCCTTAGTGAGAATGCTAGAGATCTTCAGAGAATGCATGCTGCAGGTGCCATTGCATGCTGCAGAAAACAATGATTTGTTTCACCAAATTCACTTGTTTCTGAACAAAGTGACCTGATTCACAAATAACACTAAATCATAAATCATGATTCACAAACCCAAATGTCTCTTCACTAAACAAACTGTGCTATGTAAATCCTGTTAAAAAGGTCTATTACAATGCTACTGTGTTATTGCATGTAAAGCAAAAATGCAAAGTGGGAGAATATTAAAAAAAAACCAAAAAACTATTTCTTTGAAGTGTAAATACCTTAATGGCGTGCACCACCATTTCTTTGCTTTTGTTTTGACACACATAGGTCAGCTCCCTAAATTCACACAAGTAAGCACTGCAGCAAGGCACAAAACCTTGAGCCTAACAGTGTTGTACCACATGCCATGGCTTTGCAATACATTGTAATTTGAAAAAGAACTATTGTTAGAAAAACACATGGTTTTTTTAGATGCATTACATCAGGAATTCTGCAATGGGAGGATCCTTTATTGGCTTGATTGGTCTATAAACTTCTGTCACCCTCATATGCAACACATAAAAAGGGGTGGGACATTGTTGTAAGGATTGCAATTCCCAATTATTTACTTTTTTTCTTGCTCCTTTTTTGTTGTTAGTCAATATAGCAGCTTGAGGAAAATTCCACCACGGGACCTTCTTTAGGAAAAGTTAGGAAGAGTTGGCCCAGTTATCATAAGCAATATTCCTCACTTTTTTTCCAAGCTGAGAGAGAAACATTGGTAGTTTATTGTTTTTCACACTTCATCGACCAGGTACCTTATCCAGTTTAAAAGCCTAAGCTGTGAACTGTCAAATGTCCATGTTCCTTAATCATGACCCTTTTTAAAAAATTCAGTCCTGATTATCGAAATTGAATACCAAAGCTGATTTATCAAGGCTGTGGGAAAGCCTAATGAGAAGATCATGAACAATTTTCTCAGCATTTGAGGGTCAACATTACACCATAGATGACATAATCCAACCAGAAGATTATTGAACAGAAAAAAAAAAGTCAGGGGGATTTAGTGCAATTTTCATTTGAGGAAATTAAGGGGTTCTACTAAAAGTAAAAAGGGAAAGAGGCTCTTCTTCCTCCGCCTGTGTAACCGTAAGCAGGAAGACACCTTACCCCCATATATATTGCTGGTCAGTTAATTCTTACATCCACTAGTTATAACCTGTGGCTTTTTCTTTTCATAGCAAGCGAGCAATATCAAGTTCCTTTTTTTAGGAGAGAGGCTATCAATTTAAGCTTCTTTCCTTCACCTGCTTCTAAGGATCATGCCTCCGTCCATATCCCAAGGCGGGGGGGGGACGACCAGGAATGAGCCAGACACTTCCCAAGCATGTCTCTAGAGAGAGAGAGAGGACAGCTGCTTGAGGAGAAGCCCATTGTTATTACGCCCCCACAGGCATGGTTCTCGTAGTTCTAAGGCCAAGCTGGGCAAGAAAAGAAGGCAGAGATGAGGCTGGTATTTTTAGGCTCTTCCTCTCCCTGTTCTAAATCAGGCACGTGCGTCACTCATAGCTGCAATACGCAGTCAGGGTCCAACACGTGGAGGACCATGAACAGCAGGACAAAAGAATTTTAGCTCCAAACAGCCCACTACCACCTCACACATATTCAGTTTAGCATTGCTTTTGAGGCTACCTGCATGAGGTTCATCTTGCAAAGGACCACACATTCGCCCATCACAGAAAAATCTAGAATAGCACCTTATGTTCCATTTGATTCTTTCATGAAGTGAGAGCATTGGAACTGCTACTTCCTTATCAACTTGATCTCTCTCTGTCTTCCTTCTCCTCCCTCTAAGATCTACCTTTATCTTGAAATGTTTTAAAACTCTGAATGTTCATAAGTGAACACAAGAAAATTGATATTTTCTATCTTTGGGGTCATATTAAAGGACTCGTGTAGTTCAACCTCATCTCTTAAAATATTCTGCCACTGAATTCTATTCTCTCATTATCCACATACTATAAATCACATAAAGAGTACATTGGCATTTGCCAACTTCCACTGCCAGTCTAGATTTATTAATATTCAATATTCTCTTCTTCTCTATTTTTCTCATCAAAACCATACAGTACAGCAATTTCCAAGAATCCCTTATTTCCAGTTCGGACCAATAATTTTTTCCCTTAAAAAGTGGCTGTCAGATAAAAACACCATTCATTTTCCAATAATCCACCCAGTAAATATTGCTTTGGGAGCTCTTATAGCTAAAATTTGCAGCTAAGCAAACATTTAGCAATAGTCAATATGGTGTCATTATGCTGTAACTGTTAGGAGTTGTTGAATATAAACTCCTTGCTTTGAAAAGTTAAAACACAGGAGTAGAAGATTGTGGGAACAAAATTTAACATATCTAAAAGGATGAACAGTGCAATCAAATCATTTCCCCCCAAATTAGAACAGTTCATCCCTGCATCTTGTTCTATCCTGAAACATCAAAGATATTTCCATCGTTCTGTCAATTCTTATCTATCCGAAACTTGTTTTTAGATTCATCAATTTCCTGGCTGAAGTAGTTAAAGAAACGTAGGAGGAGAGGAAACCTTTATTACTAAATCTCAGGTTTTATTCATAGCTAGATATATAATCAATTATACAAATATCTTCCCACATAAACTGGGGGATCATTACCAATCTTGAATCCACTAGTCTTGATTTCTATTTGAGAAGGAACCCAGATGAAATATCTGAATTTCAGTGGCAAACAATGGAGGTAATTTAATTCCCAGGCCACTTTCCTGATCACAGCTGGATGTGAATTCTGACACATCTGGAAAGATGCACTAGTAATCAAAGGCTGATGCACCTCAGAAAGTCCTTCTTGGAATCAGCCTGAAGGGTTTCTCTTATTACCGGGTCTCAAAGGCATTTTACTCTTAACCAATTAGTATGGGGATTGGGCATTGGGGATGGGTGGAAGAGAGAGGAAGTGCTAAAGAAATATGAAAAGGCACAAACATGAGATCATGTATATCTCCCCCGCCCTGTGAAATTCAAGGACCGGAGTGATTTCTCACTTTCAGTCTAGTCTGGAAGTGCCGCTGCCGATGGTTTTGGGCAGATTTAAAGATCGCAAGGGAGAAGATAAAGGCCTGAAGCTGAGCGACACTTTTCACTGGACCGACCGGCTAACCGGAACCCCCATACCAGCCGTCCCTGCACCCCCTTTTGTCCTACTCGGTGAATTGCACCTCAGCACCTAATCCCAAAGAGCCTGACTATTCCTGGATGGCCGGCAGTTCAAGATCAGAGGCAGTAGAGACGATCCATGGAAACCGACAGCGTGCCCTTCCCCATCCCCTTTCAGCAAAAACATTTCTTTCAGTTACGTGCCAGATTGGGGAGACGGGGGTTGGGGAATAATTCAGCTCAGAACACGGGTGCCTCTGCCCGGGTCGAGTCTCGCAAGGTCCCCCCCAGTCGCATCCCCTCCTGGATCGTTCCACTCCCTCCTTCTCCCGCTGCCGCGATTCTTCTGTTTTTTTCCCCTGCCCCTCCTTTCTTTCGGACACGATCTCCACGTCCAAAGTTTCCCACCTCACAGCCAAGCTGCCCCTCCGCCTAATGGACTACAAGGTGTCCGACCGGTGCAGCCGACTGAAGGGCGGGCTGGCGGTTACGCACCTGGAGGCCAGGATTGTCTAAGACCTCCATTTGGATGTCTTGGCTGGAGCTGTAAGGTGTGCGTGACATGCCGCTGTCCTGCACCATGGAGACGCCTGTGCTGTCGGCTGAGCTCACGCCGGACTCATGGTGAAAGCCAGGGAAGGTTGGGGTCGCCTTTCGCCTGCCCAAGGAGCCGACCACCAGCGTCCTCAAACCCGTAGCCTCGGCATGGCCCCTCCTGACGGCTAAGATGAGCAAGGAGGCCCCCTACGCGCGCGCCGCCGCCGCCGCCGCCGCCGCAGTGATGGATGAGCCCAGCGTTCCAATCATAGGGCATCGCCTACGAGCGCTTCCTGGCAACTGGAAAGGGCTGACTGCTTCCTTCAGCTCCCCAGGGGAAGGAAGAAGGGGTGGGTGTGGTTTGAGCCGAAGTGGGGCCAAGCAGATGGCGGGGAGGGGAAGAGAAAATGGAAGCTCCTGTCAATGGTCTCACGTCTAGCTTAGCTTCCTTACAAAGATCCTCTGGGATCCACCTGCTGCTGTCCCATCTCGGAAACCAGAATGGAAGGAAATTTGTCGAGCTTCCCATCCGGTTTATAGCTTTATAGGTATAGTTTATACCTTTTCCCTATTTATTTTGTCAATTCACCTTTAACATTTCACTCCGTGATCTAGCGTTAAGTTGCAGACGACCATTTTGCTTCCAATTCAGTTTTTTTTTTCTCACTCTCTCCATCTTCTGATGAAATCCCTGCAAAATTTGTGTCATACAGAAAGATTTCAGGTTGTAACTGAGAATAGCCAAATCTGACTATTGGCCCTTTGTGGTCTCTGAAACTAAGCGGAGTTAATACTAAATGAGAGACCGCTAAGCACCCCCATGGCTGGGAAGTCAACCTACTACCTGGCAAAAGGCCAGGGCAAAACAATTCCATACAGTTGCCAATAAAATGACCAGGAATTAAATTTGGTTCAAATGCATCATTAAACACTGATAATTTTTCACACTTCCTCCAATTCAGGGTTGCTTTAATAACACAGGGTTGTTTTATTGAATGAATTCAGATTGTGTAATTAGTTTGTGGTGTTACGTAAATCCATAAAATCTACTTGGTTAAATTAGCTGTAAGTGATCATGTTCAAACACAATCAGTAATGTCTCATTTATTTATGAGGTTTGTTCCAGGTGAATTTTCATATAGGTACAGTCTAGTTGTTCCTATATCTGCTTTTTTTCCACACCAATGCCTTTCAGATGTGCTATGCCTTATTGTCTGAATAGTCAGCAACAGGTTAGCAAGATTATCCTATATACAGCAAAATGTCATTATACCTTTCTTCTTCCTGTCTCACTTTAGTCTTCTCCCTTGAGATGCTTAGTAGTGCTTGGTTTAAGAAACATTATCTCCAAGTCACTGAAACTACAAGATACAGGCTGATTCACCAACATACTAAGCCCTAGTTTGCTTAACTTTGAGGCTGGTGAATAAGCTACCACATTATGGCTTAAAATGCTTTGCAAATGGCTCATAATGTCAGTAAGTGCAAAATTTTCTATCTTTTTTTAATCCCATCAGCCTCCTTTCCATATTACTGCAGTTGCTCATTTCTTTTGCCAAGAAATATTCCTCCTTTCATTCAGAAACCCTGCTAACTGCATCTTAAAGATGCCTTCTTAACCATTCTTTAAGGGCATCTCAGAACTCAGCCATGTAACTTTATGTATTTTATCCAGTCCAGTTGCCTCTTGAAAAACCCACATATACTTCAAGTGGGCTAATTCACGAGTGTCAAACTCAAGGCCTGTGGGCCAAATCCAGCCTGTGATGTGGTCAGATTTTGCCCATGGGGCCATCCTGGAAACTCTAAGGGGCTGGCCTGTTTTGCTTTGGCCCACCCCATCTTATCGTGGCACGTGTGCCTGCTCACAGGTATCGGACAAGCGTCACCTCAGGTCGGCCACCCCATCCTGGCATGGATGCTATCATGTTGCAGCTCAGTGCTGCACCCATATCAGTGTCTCTGCCATATACATCTGCACGCGTACGTGGGGGAGAGGTGTCCAGCAGTAGGAGCACCACAGCTGGCCCTCCAAGAAGCAGGCGTGGAGGTGGTGGCAGCAGGCAATGAAGCACATTTTGTGGACCACCAGACGCACCTTGGCACTGCTATGGGCCGTTGCCAACACTGAGGCCACCAGCTGCTCATGCAGGTCCCCCAGGCCACTGTTGTCGCCACCAGGAGCACCAGGCCAATCCAGCCTGAAGGTGGCGAAGTGGCCAGCTAGAAAGGCTGAGTACAGGTGGTAGAATATGCCCAGGCTCAGCAGTTAAAAGGCGGTACCTGTGGGGACCCAGGCCCAGCCAGGCATGCCTACCCCCATCTATGTTGGGCCTGGGCGGTCATGGCGCCAATGGGGATTTGGCTTTCCCCACTCGTGGTGGCTGTCTTTTGCCTGCTGGGCCTGGGCGTGCTCTACCATCTTTACTCGGCCTTTCTAGCTGGCTGCCTCTGGGCGGGTCTGCTAAGTGGCAGTGTCAGTGGCAGCATCCCGCAGCAGGTTGAGTTCTGTTGGGTGCGTGAGGGGAACCTGCTTCACATGCAAGCTAAGGGCAAGATTCACATGCAGGCTAAGGCGGGCGAGAAGATAACCAGTGGCGACCTGCTCTCCAACCGCACGCCAAAACAGACAGTGGGAAGGAGTAAGTGCGTCCAGTGGTCCACATCATGTTCTTCTCCCTCATCTCCACCTGCTGCTTAGACAACCAGCCCAGTGGGTTGTGGAGCTGCAGCATGCATGAGCTGAGTGGCCAGCAGGCTGCGGCTGCAGCTGGAAGCCATCACCACCACCCCCGCACACAAAGGATGTTGTTTTTAGGCTGCAACTGCCCCGCCCCCTGCCACATCTCACTTCATCCTGAGTGACAAGCCATACACCCACTATCCTACCCATCGGAGACCCCTGGATTCCCTCCCAACCCCGCCCAGCCCTCACAGGCATGATCTCTGCAAGTGACGTCAACTGGCTATGCCCTCAGCCATGTCCAGTCAGCTGTGATCGTCCTGGTCACGTCCCTCCCCCTGGCCCCCAGAAGACAATGCTGATCTGGCCCTCAATGAAATTGAGTTTGACACCCTGGGCTAACTTATAGAATGCATCCAAAGTGTGGGACCCATGATTCACATGGAAATATAATTATGCAAATTTTATAAAGCATTTTTACACAAAGTTATCACAATCCATTTTATGATATAATGCAGAATGTCATTAAATATTTCCTGTGGTCAGTTCCTGATATTTGATGGTGCTATGCAGTTCAGTATGGGTTATTTTCAAGGCACCTATATCTGAATATTTCCTTGAATTTTTAAGAGCTTTTTAAGGCAGTACATTAGAAGCATCAGAATTACATCCTTCCATCCCCACCACCATCCAGTCAGAACTGATGAAGCTTCTTGGATGAGAAGTAAAATGTCTTCTTTCTCAAGGAAAAAAACGTTGTCCAATTGCCTTTTGAAAAAGCACTTTTTGAGACAACTATGACTAAGAATCTCCATAGACATTTAATACATTAGAAGTTCTGCCACTGTTGAAGAAATTAAGGAATCTGGCAAGGAAATACCTTTGAAACAATAACTTAGTGGGTCACAGGATATCTGGTATTTAATTAATTTTTGAATTATTAAAGGTAAATGCCATATTTATTTCTTGATCTATCCCAATTCCCATACAATAATTAATTTTAGTCAGGAAGATATCATACAAATTGAACATTTTTGTGTGTTATAGTCTGCAATCTCTTAAATTAAGACCATGTTTAAACCACGTTAGCCAATGGTTTAAAATGGAGATGGAACCACTCCAATACCTAACAGAACATTTTTGAATCAAATTTAAACATTGTGAACCATGCTACTTTAAATGATATTTGCAATCTGCTTCATATTCCAAAAGGGATGGTGGAATCAGTATACTGGTATATTTTTCACACATCAAAAAAATATTTTCCTAGGCAACGTAAGCACATATTTAAATAGAAATATTAGTTGTCTAGGTAAAAGTGAAAAACATTCAGCATGTTTTCCTTTTATGATGGCATGTTCAGTTCATATAAACACCACAAATTAATACCAATGTACTCAACAAACAATATCAGCATTCTGAAAAGAAAAAAGAATCAAGCTATATACCATTAATGTGGCTTGTTCACATAGCACACTGGTATATTTTTGATTTTGATTTAACAAGTTGTCTAGATTAATCTATAGTGGGCAATATTTCAGGAACCATTTAAAAAAACATAGAGTGACTGTGGATATGTCAAACTAAAATATAGTTGGCTAATTTGTGACTTAGTGTGCTATAAAACCCAGAAAAAATTATTTGTTTCTGGATTAATGTCTGTATTTACACACATTAACCAGCAACAGGTTTTTAAATTTGTATTAAAACAATCAAAATATTTATATAAGCATTTTGTATATCCTCTTAGGAACTCATCATAGGGTATAGGATTTTCCTCTTTTATTTTCTTACTATTTCAATTAGGAATGTGTCTTACCTGGTTTATCTGTTACCTGAACATAGCAATTGGACTTTTATTTATTAAAAAAACAACAACTTAGGTTTAATGCAATGACCTAGTGAAAGGTTTTAGATCTAAAGTTCCTGGTTGATTTCATCCTAAAAGTGAAAATGTAATTTGCTAATCTGTTAGCATGCCTGTGATTTATACAGGTTAGTAAAATGAAATTTGGCAAAATAATTTAATGTACATGTTGTTTGAAAGACACAATAAACTAATATAAGGGCTGAGTTTGGAAAAGAGACTGAGCTAAACTGGTTCAATGTGTCATGATAATACAATCAACAGAAGTATATTCAAAACTTCATTATAGTTTTTAAAAGGAAAAGTGTAACATTACATAATGGTTCAGAATCACTTCGCTCATGCCGCCCTGCTCTGAGAAAAAATTTCAACCTACACACACCTTTATAATTTTATTCACACTAAATGTTCAACTGATTTTCTACTGGTCAACGAAAATAATCCCAGTGAAATACAGTAGTTAATTATTTCACTGGGCATGTTACAATGTGCAAATTATTGCAGGGCTCATTCTTTAAAGATGAGTCCAGGCAAACTTTGTGCAATCACCGGATTCAGCACACTATAAGCAAATTTAAGAATAAACGTCAACAGATCAATTTTCCTCTTCCCCTCCCAAATGTTATTAA